TGATCCTTCTTGGAAGCAGCTAAGAGGCTTTCTGCAATTGTGGGGCAAAGCCATTGGGACTGGCCCAAGTCTTGACTGCTTGGAGTAAGCCAGTCACAACTTTCCCACCCTGGGGGAAGAACTTTGGAAAAAAACTTTTGAAAAGTGAACTAGGTGCTGCTGAACCTTTACAATGATTAAAAAGACCACTAGGGCTTGGGTGGTTTCCTTAATGTACAACTTGGGTCATTTGCAAACAATAAATAACCTGCACCCAGGGGAATTGCAGTTTGAGCCTCATTTGTACCCTTCAGGAATTTGAGCAGAAGGCAGATATTTATTTCAGGTGGGGACATTTTAAATAGGCGACTGACTGAATAATTTTGGCAGCTGGAAGGCTGGCTGATTAGATTCTGTTGTTATTATTTAAGCAGCAGCTTTGCCTGGGGTGACAAAGAAGTGGCTTGCCTGTCGTTTTTCCGCCCTTTACTTTACTTTTTCCCAGTCACAAAATATTTTCCGCATTCAGGCTCATGATTCTCTTTTCGTGTTCAGTTCGCCTTTCTGGATTCTCTTGTCCAGAGGGAGCATGAACACAAACCACCTCAGGGCAGGCTCATTGTACAGTCAGTCACCTGAAGCTGTGCTGAAGGTAGAGCATCAGTGCTGTATCCACTGCACCACCTTGCTGCCCTCAGAAATGGTCTTTTAAAGAAAAAGGCCAACACACTACTGTAGAATAGTAGTGTTCTGCCTTGGTTTGGACATTGCCAGAGCTGCTTTTTCCCGTTGGAATTCAAGGTAGACTAGTTAACCCAATGGTATCGGAGGATTATCGAATGGCCGCACATGCTCCAGACAAGCTGGCTCACAGCGTCCAGCAAAATCCTTATTTGCAGTAAACGCTAGTCTTTTCCTGAAGCCATTTAAGGGAGGAATATCTCTTCTTTTCTTCTCTGTTTTTGCTTCCTTTCTGGCTTGGCCCAGTCACTTCTCTGGCTGGGATGAACTGGTTCTTCCTTTGAGGCCCACTTCCCTGAGTTTGCATAAGTCAGCTGTCCATCGGGTGCATATGGATGGTGGATCCCCCTGCTAGACCAGAGTGGGGCAGAAAGCCTGAATTGGGCACTATCTGTGGTGGGAATGTAGCACCACTTAGTCTTCCCAGCTATTTTGATTCTCTTTATTGATAATGTCACTAGTGCAGTTATCTTTTCATGCCTAATATGTACCATCATTACCAGAGATGTGAAAGCTGAGGAATACCTTCTCTTTACTGCTTATTAACTTGTATTTACAACTCAGAGTAGCTTAGTGTATTCATGGCATTCTTCCCCTTTATCTGCCCTATGCAAATAGTGGCTACATTATACTTTAAGGACTATTCACAAGATCTGTGGAATATAAGCTTTTTGAGGGCAGGGATTATTGCTTTTTTTTGGTCTTTATATCCCTAGCTCCTGCATATAGGCAGCCTTGCTTGCAGTAGGCACTTAATAAATGTGTATTGAAATATAAATCTGTTTTTTCACTGCTTAAAGAATATTTCAATTACTTTATCTCCATTACAAAATTGAAAACATTAGGAGAAAATCCTACCCTCATGATGAATTTTTGAAGGCTTTAAAAGGTGAAATGTCAGGGGGTTCCTCGACATTGTTTGATGCAAATTCAGTATCAAATGAATTGTATGTGGAACATCCAAATAGAGGATAAGTTTCAAAAGAGCATCACATCTATCATTGTGCGTTCTGGAGTCCCTAAGTAGCCATTCGTTAAGCATTCCCTTTGAGAGGAGAGTTTGCCCAGCCACACTTCTGGAGACAAGGAAATAGAAAGTTTGGATGCTTTGTGCCTAGTTCTGTAATGAATCTGCCTGGCACAGTCTGGGTCCAAGTGTACACTTTTCATTTTCTGGGACAGGCTTGGTCCACACATGTTGGAGGCTTTGATTTTGTTCAGAAATGGTTTCAAGATCACCTCCATCCATTTTTTTCTTTTCCTTTTTTTTTCTTTTTAACTCGGGAGGAAATATTTAGACAGATAGGAAGAGCTAGGCACTTAGCATACTCAGAGATAGCTCTTGGTCATATGTTGGCAGGAGAGGGTGGGGAAAAGCTGGAGGGAATCTCTTCAAATTACTAGGTGAAGATTTTAAATGAAAATTTGTCCTTTTTCTATGTGTTTTTGTTTTATATGCTGTCTCATCCTTTTTTGCAAGCAAGTGGGGTCATCAATCACAAATAAATACATTAAAAATAAACTGTATCTGTTTCAGAATTTCTGACTTTTTAGAGGGTAACAATAACAACTCTCTGCAGTAATGGGCCCCTCAGTGGTTGAGTTATTTTTATTCCAAAGCAATTTAAATTGGTCAAGCCTCCACTCGCTGCCTGTTTTGGAAAAAGTAGCTTTTTCTGTGTGAGAAAGTATGTGCTCAGTGGATGGCGTGATGGACCTCAGCTGGATAGAATGGGGAACTTGACCTCAGGAAGACCTGAGTTCAGATTCTGCTTGAGACACTTATCAGTTGTGTGACCCTGGGCAAACCAAACCAAACCAAAGCAAACCCAGAACAAGCATCCACATCCTTGGCCACGTGTTTGACACCTCTGGTCTTGATCTGGAGCAGTGCAGTCTGGGGAAGGCGAATGGAAGGGACTAAGCATTTTTACAGAGCCTGCTGTGTGCCAGGCACTGTGCTAAGTGCTTCACAAATGTCTCATTTGATCCTCTCCACCGTCTGTGAGATAGGTTCTATTCTGGCCTCCATTTTACATATGAGGAAACTGAGGTCCAGAAAGTTTAAATCACATTTGTGACCTAGAAGGTCACACATCAGCTAAGTCGAAGAGTTGGGGGTTGAGCTGAGGTCCTCTAACTCCATGCCCCCCACTCATTCTACAGTAGTGTGTTGGCCTTTTTCTTTAAAAGACCATTTCTGGGGGCAGCAAGGTGGCGCAGTGGATAGAGCACTGACCCTGGAGTCAGGAGGACTTGAGTTCAAATTTGGCCTCAGACACTTGACACTTGCTGTGTGACCCAGGGCAAGTCACTTAACCCACATTGCCTCACCAAAATAAAATAAAATAAAATAAAATAAAATAAAGTAAAATAAATAAGATAAAATAAAATAAAGTAAAATAAAATAAAAATAAAAAAATAAAATAAAAGACCATTTCTCTGGGTAGGTCCTACAGTCATCGGCTCCTTGCTAGGATTGTGTTGTTCCTAATCAATTTCATACCACCCAGAATGGTGGTGCTTTTGAGCCGTGGGTATATGACGGGCATACAAAACCAGTTTCTTAAACGGACATTTATTTGAATGATAACAAAGGAAATCAATTATTCTGAAATATGTTTATCAACCTATTGAGAAAAAGTTCATAGTCCCCAGGTTAAGAATCCCTGACTTTATATGACATTTTATTTAGTCGGTCCCAGGAACAGCACTTATAGACAGATGACACTGCCTGACTCTCTGAGTTGCGTGGGTCAGAGACGTTGCTTGGTTCGATTCAGGCCCAAACAGGAATCTTTTTTACACCCACTGCTTGACTGACCCTAGTAGCGAGACAGCTCATTCCACCTTTGGATCACCCCAACTGCCTTCCACTGAGCTATCAGGAAGAGAAAAGAAAAGAAAGACAAGCAGAAGTGCCACAGCCCTGCTCAAACCCAAGGAAAGCAGGTTGGCACAGGCTACCAGCCCACATAGCTGTGCCTTGAGGTCTGGCATCTGAGGACCACGTCATTGCGCAATTGGAAAAGCTGCTCTCATGGTGGGAAGCAAGGTGCATTTCAAATAAGTCTCCGCATCCCAATATCAGTACTTGTTCCCTTATCTCCCTATTCATGCTGTCATTGGCCGCAGCCAAGGCATTCCTCTTCATTAATCACCTTCTCCAAAAACTTAATTAGTGGCTTAATTAGGATCATCCTCTAGCCTGGTAGTAGCATCCTAGGCAGCTGTGAATCATTGGATATATCCTGTGGAACTGACTACTTCCAGAGAAACTCAAGACAAGGAAGAAAACCATTGCTGTTGTTCACCCTCTCTCATTTTACTTAGTTCCAGAGAGGAGAAAGTAGGAATAATGAATGAAAGTTGCTGAGAGACAGATTTTTTCTCAATGAAAGGAAAAAAAAATTCCCGACATTTAGAACCATCTAAAATTAGAATGGGGTTTCCTGTCATCAGAGGTCTTGAAGCAGTGGCTGGGATGGCGAGGTGCTGAGGATGTGGTGAAGAGGGTTCCTGCCCAGGAAGAGGACAGATTCTGTGACCCCTGAAGTCCCAATTCTGACATTTCACGGTTCTTTGAGAGCTGTCTGACACGTACATTTTTTCCATTATGGCAGCTTTGCTGGTCCTATGCAGAAATAAGAGGAAACAATTCACATATGTTGAATCTATTGGAAAACGACTAGCAGTTGCTGATTCTGAAGACTGTGATAAAGAAGCTAAAAGCATGTTTTGCTTATTTGCCAGAGCTAAAAATTAGACCGTGCATTTTGTATATGACAGTTTTCTTTTTGCTGAAAGTTAAAATACTTACCTTCTGCCTTTCTTATTTTTCAGCATTGTCTTTTTTGAGAGATTGCCAGATTGTTGCATGATGAATTCAGCATGCCATTTTCCTTTCTTACTTTGTCTCTCTCTTTGGGAGCAGGAAGAGTGGAACTAGAGGGCAAATAGGGGAAATAGTATAAACTAATTTAGGAAAATCCTCCTCCCTTCCCCTCCAAACGAAATATCTTTCTGCTGTGATGCAGCTATTAATGTGAAGCCTCCTTCTTCCCATGTATCTCTTAACTAATCCGTGTCTTTTGAGGCTATCTGATTCTTGTGCAGGGCCTGCCATAGATCCTCCATAGGAGATGTACCCAGAGTGCTGGAGGCACATTTCTGTTGGGGTGTTGTTTTTGTCTTAAATAGTGGATCACAGCTGTCCATTTCTCTTTCCCTGCTCTGGCTATAAGACTGACCCAGTTCCTTTTCTGGTTATACATGTCCTTGTTAACGTTGGGCTTTTTTGGGGGAAGGGGGACAATTCTCAAATATAGATTACCATTGGTTTGAGTCACTCACTGTTTATAACCACCATGTGTCTTTCCGTTGTCTTTTGGGTCACCTCGATTTTGAATCTTCTGAGATTTTTGTTTTTGTGATTTCTAGGCATGAGTATCACTGGGAAAATATGTTAAAAAGATGTGCTTCTTCATCAAGGAGCAGCCTGGGGCCCCTGAAAATGCTGCAGTGTAGATGGATTGTTTATTTCTCCTCCTTAGTTCTGGGCCTATTTTCATAGCCTATTTTCAGTATGTTTCAAAGACATATATACATATTACATACATAACATACTTATGTATACATATATAGGAATATATATGATTATATGTATGCATATATTCATATGCATATGTATACACTGATTGACTTCACATATATAAAATACATGCACATTTGTGTATGTGTCTCTGTCTATCCTGAATGACTCCCTCAGTGAGCTACCCATCCAACTTGAATGTTACAATATGGACAATTTACACTTGTTACCAATTATTTCCTTCTAACTGTGTGGATTGTTGGGTTGATCTCTTTTGAGTGTCCATGGCTGTCGTTGAAGAGTCTTATAGTGATCCGGGGCTCAGTGCTATCTGGAAAGTGCCATCCATTAATCAATAAGCATTTATTAAGCACTTACTGTGTATGTGTCAGGCATTGACAGATGGAAGCAGGATAATCCATTCTATCATTTAAAAACAAAACCACCTAGAAAATCTTCCTCTTCTTTTGAATAGAATCTAACTTTACACCTTGCAATAAAAATATGTGGATCATAACTTTCTTTTTTTGGTAAAAATGACCCATAAGAACCTTAAATTTTACATCAGAATTCAGTCTTGGACTTTGAACTGGGCCTCTTGCCTGTGTATAGTGTCTGTTTGGTGGTTTGTTTTGAATGTTTTTGGCTGGTAGATGATTTAGTGAAGTTGTATACTCGGTGAACTCTTCTTTCTTCTTTATTCCCCAGAGTTGCTGCTGCTTCCAGGAGAGGTAGAAGAGGAGGTGCATTTCTCAGTCTCAGGTTATGTTCCTTCTTTTGACCAGCATTCTTGCCCTGAACCGAAGACTTATCCAGCAGAACAACTGGCATACAGGCATTTGAAGGAGGTATCCTTCCCTGACGTGCATTCACTTCTCTCTCCCACAGGATCAGACACAGGGGCGTGGGATGGCGTGGAAGTTGTAGGGATTGCAAGGATTCTGGGGCTTTCTACTTTTTTTTTGCCATGTCACTGGATGGACTTGAAGGTTTTTACATTTTTCCTCCGTCTTTATGGATGCTTAAAATTAAATTTGCTTCATCAATCCTTCTCACTGTCATTTATATTCAACTTATTTATTTCTTTTGAAACATTTAGTGCTGTTTTGTTCTTTTGTGGAACTGATTTTCACTTTATTTTCACAGCATTATGCTGTGAGTCAGTCTGGTTTGGACACTCCTCAATAGAAAAGACAATTTCCTTGCCTACCTTTAGTTTCATCTGGTCACTTTTTGCTCATTATTGCATTTTGCAGTTCCAGCAAAACTTTGCCATTGCAGACCTTGTATCTTCAAAGTTAGTTGTCTGAGGTCATTGTATGAGCCTTAGAAAACAGGACCCCAAGAGGAGCCATTTTTTTTCCTTGGGTTCAAGAAAGATCTTGACCTCTATTTACCCTTCATGTTGATGGGTGGAAGGTGAAAGACTTTTTCACAAGGCATTTATTTGGCAAAGGTGGCATAGAAGGAAGAGGGCAGAATTCAGAGTCAATGGACTTGTGTTTGAGTCCTGGGTATATTCCTGATTAGCACTGATAACCCAGGAGACCTCGGGCAGGTCACCTTCCTTCTCTGGCTTCAGGCTCTTTGAATATGGAGGTATTGGATTAGAGATCTCTAAGGTTGCTGCCAGCTCTGAATCTCTGAATCTCTGAAACTGGGCTCTCAAGGTTTCCTTAATTACTTGGTTTCTTAAAGATATCCCAGGAGCATTTCTTGATTGTAGGAGGTACATGGTCACTGGGAATTTAACTGTGAAACATTTTAAAAAAATCTTCTCTACAAATTGGTGTACAATTGGTGTGAAGAGGTTGTGTCATGATGCTCAGTCTTTCAATTGGAAGCAATCAATGCATTGTAATTTAAGATTGACCTTTCCTCTTGGAACTTTTGTCTCACTCCAGTCACAAGGGAGGGACTAGAATGTTTTGGACTTCTATTACGTTGTTACGGTGTTTGACAGAGCAACTGGTAGAAACAGCCTCATTTAAGTATGATTTCTTAATTAAGAATTTTCTACCTTCCCCAAGATGCAAAAAGCTCAAATTACTAGGTTGTTTCCAGCGGGATTCCATTTATTTTATAGGCCATCTTTCTTTCTTGACTTGAAGCGTGATTACAAAATATATTAGAACAGTAAGTGGTTGTAGCACCTGACAGAGTTTTGATAATTGTTATAAAATGATTTTAGTTGTTGGGCAAAGAAGGATGAAATATTTCTGGAGCCCTTCAAACAGATGATAAAATGCTAGCTAAATTCCATACTTATACCAGTGTTTTTTGAAAGAAACTTCTGGTAAAAACAAGAGAATAAGAACAACACTTGTGTTAGCAGCATGGTGAAGTGTGGACTGTGAATTTCAAGACCCATCTTTGAATCCTGGCTCTGTGGTATGATGGGAAAAATCATTTAACTTCTCTGACCCTCAGTTTCCTCATCTGTAGAATGGGAATTACAATAATAACTTTCTATGTACATAATACATACACACATATTAAAATATGTGTACATATATGTCACATGTATGTACACACATGCATATATAAACTTTTGGGTTTGCAATGTGATTCTCTTGCAGCACTTCTCTTTATATTTATCTTGCTGGCTATATGAAGATGAAGGGCTTTATGGTGTTTTGTAATCACAAAGTGCTGTGTTAAGTGTGAGTTATGATTATTTTTTATTATTATTGACAAACTTGTGGCACTTGGACAGATATCTCTAGATGAAGGCTATATCACAATGCCTCTGTTGAATGTGTTAGTCCTTAACGCTGGGGAGCTGCCTTGTGATTGCCATCCCCAGAAGCTCCACTGACTCGTCTGCCCTTTTCCCCTCTGGCACCTGTCACCTTCTCCTGGGGCTTCACATTGTCTGTGAAAGAACACCAGCGTTTATCAGTTCTCATTGCAAGAATCACAGAAATGAAGTCGCTGGAAGTTCTGAGGATGTTAAATGTGGTAAAAGCTCCACCTGATTCTCTCTGATTTCATGTTACAACAGGAAAAAAAATAATGTAAATCTGTTCAAAATTAGGTAAATATTTCTTCCACTTTGGTAATATCCCTCGGCATGATGGGCAGAATGATTTGCATCTGGATGTACTATCCAACCGATTCTGCTAAATATTAGGGAAGGGAGAGCAAATCTGTAACCCTCTTTCAAAGATGTGAACACAGAGCTCTAGGAATCACTCAATAAATGTGTACTTACTGAGCAGCTGCTCTGGGGCGGCACTGTGCTAGGCACTGAGGGGACAAGTCCAGAGAATGAAACAATCCCAGCCCTCCTGGAGCTCACCATCCACTGGAAGAGGCAACAACTAAGGTTAGATAGAGACGCCATAAGTATGAAGTGGATAAACACAGATGTACATGAAGCAGTTAAACAGAAGGCATTTGGGGAGGGAGGTCACTGGTACTTGTGGAGGGTGGGAATCAGGACAGGCTTCATTCAGAAGATGGTGCATGAGGCGGAGGTGAGGAAGGAATGTATTCCAGCACAGACACTGGTCAGTTTATTCCGAGGTGGTCCTTCAAAGGTGTGGAGGTGGGAGATGCAGTGTTATATGTGATAACTAGAGAGAAGGCTGGTTGGGCTGTATTGCAGAGTGTGGGAGGGCATTGATGTCCAGTGAGGCTGCCAGTAGGGGTTGGGGCCATGTTGTGTGGGGCTTTAAAAGCCGCAGAGGATTTGATATTTTAACCTCAAGGGGATAGGAAGCCACTGAATTGGATTGAGCAGGAGTTGCCTGACCAAATTTGTGCTTGAGGAGAATGACTTTGGCAGTGTCTTGTAGGATGGAATGGCAGAGGAGTGACATGGTGGGGCCTGCTCTTCAGGAAGTTCACTTTGGCAGCTGAGTGGAGGGTGGACCAGGAGGAGGATGAGCTTGACAGGCCGCTGTCCGGGCGTGAGGTGACGAGGGCCTGCTCCAGGATCCGGAATGGTGCCAGGGCGGAAGGGAGAAGGGCCTGTCCTTGAGAGATGTTCCAAAGGTGGAATTGGCTGGCCTTGGCGGCAGATCGGCCGCGGCAGGGGTGGGGGGTGTGCGTGAGAGAGGAGGTGAGAATGGCTTATAACTTGTGAGCTTGGGTGACTGAGAGGATGGTGACACCCTTGACAGGAATAGGAAAGTTAGTAAGAGGAGAAGGTTTTTGGAGAAAGATAATGAGATAAGTTTGGGACATTCTGAGTTTTAGACGTCTCATCGCCATACAGTTTGTGATATCTGGAGAGGTAGATTTGAGAATCATCAGGAGAGATGGTGATTGAACCTCTGGGAGCTGATCAGGACTAGAGATATGTGCTCACATTAAGCCAAGAGTGCTAATAATATTAACAGCATATTTACGTAGCTTTGTATAGTTCCAGAGAACTGTATACGTCCTGTACCCTTTGATCCCCACAGTGACCCTGTGAGGGAGGCAGAGGTGCAATTCTTGTTACCCCAACTCTTCAGACTAGAACACTAAAGCCCAGAGAGGTGGCAACCAGCCACATCCATAGCAATAACCTCCAATGGTCTTCTTGGCTCACCTTTTCTGCCTTCTCCAACTCAGCCTCCACAAAGCCACCAAAGGGATTTTCCCAGATCCAGGGTCTGACCGTCACCCCTTTGTTTAGTAAACTCTAGTGATTGATTCGCAGTTGCTTCTAGGATTAAGTATAATCTCTTCTGTTTGGCATTTAAGGACCTGTAAAATCTGGCTCCAAACTACCTTTCCAGCCTTAGGAGACACAACCCTTCATATGTTCCATGGTCCAGCCAAACTGGTCTTCTCACTGTTTCCTCAGACAAGATATTCCACCGTCCATTTCGTGTGCTTTTGCACATAGTTTGTCCTCCCAGTGCCTCGAATGTACTACCTCCTCACCTTAGCCTCCTAGAATCCCTAGTTTCTTTTAAAGTTCAGTCAAAACATCATCTTCTAAATGAAGCCTTTTATGGATCCCCTCCCTATTAGTGCCCTGTCCTCTCCCTCCCTCTCTCTCTCTCTCTCTTAAATGGGGGGGTGGTACATGTTGTCCTACATAAACTCCTTGGGGGTAGGGATTGTTTCATTTGCAAACTTTAGTGCTATATAAATGCTGGCTATTATTATTAATTTCTTTGTATCCCTGGTGCTTAGTAAAGTTCTTGACATAGAATAGGCACTTAATAATTGCTTTCTGATCGATTTTTTGAAGCATTCACCCAACCTTTGCATGAATTTTGGTACGATTAAATTTTGTTCCCGATTTTAGCTTGAGGTTTTAGATATATGTGTTTTACCGTTAAAGTCAGGTGTTCTCCAGAAACCTTGTGTTCTCTATCTGTGTCCTGCTTATTGTGTTCCAAGGAATCTGAGAACATTCAACCAGCTTTATTGGGCAAAAAGAGTTCACCTGAGGGAGGTGAAAACTGCATGCTTTTAATTCAAAAGCAAGGGAAGAAAAGATAATCTGTGAAGGGCAGAGAGGAGGAGCTCTTTGGTGTGCTTTAATATTAGGAACCATTTCTGTGTAAAGAATGCTTTGCCTATTCTTAATAGACTTTTAAAGTTCTCATCTATAAATAGTTTATTTATACCATTTCTCTGCAAAATAACCTACAGCTAAATGCTGCTGTTATTGATATGAGCATTAAGTTCTTTTCCCTTAATTTGGACATGCGGTCCTATGAATGAAAATGATTCTTTCCTTAACACCCGCTCAGTTAGAGTAAGTCACATGGGCAATTTTAGGGAAACTGGCAGTTTTTCTAATAGCGCACAAATTCTATTCCCTAAGAGTGTACCAAAAAGATTTCAATTAGATCTGAAATTAGACACCTGAAATCCACATATTTCTCTCAGCTCCTTAGGCAAAAATAACAAGTTAATAACTTGGGTTCACAGTTGTTTTTTTGTTCAGTGGCAGGGGATTCAGTGTTCTACTGTGCAAATTCTTTCCTTTGAAATAAATTAGAATTTCAGTTTGTAGTCTAAAGGTACATTCTCCTTACATAGGAGGCTGAAACAAACGAAAGCTTGAAAGGAGAACCCCGAAAGCCTTCCTCAGAAGAGATGCTGCTGCATTGGATCGTAAACACTTCTACCAGGGATGCCGCAGGGCTGTAGGCTGGACGTTACATTTATATCCAATTTCACTTTGAATGTATATCTGTATCTCTGTCTACATATACATACACACATATATGCACACATAGATATCCTTTTGGGGGCAGAATTTTAATTCATTCATTTGCATGTTCACAAAAATAATTAAAATGGAGATTGTTAGATAACTTTTTTCGGAACTACCCTTCTAGATGGGTATGTGTCCAATATGTATCCAATGTACCTAATACTTGTAACGAAAGAGAAAATGAGGTACCTCACTGTTGTGGTGGTAGAGGTGAGGTAATTTTAGTCTTTGTTCAAAGAACATTTCACACTGATCAAGTGTATTATTTTGTCAAAATATAACTGTTTTATTGATGCCTTTTGTCTTTGTATCGTGGTTCTTTTAAACCCTCCCTCAGCACTAGATGGAGCCCTTCCTTGTGGCAAAGAAAAATATTAAGCAAAAATATCCTCTGCAAAAGATAATCAGTTTCATTATGTACACAGTACTCCATCCTAGCTTTCCTCAGCTTTTTTTTTTTTACTGCAAAAGGGAATATGTTTCCCTATCTGTTCTCTAGCACCTTCATTGGTTTTTCAGTTACTTAGCATTTGACTTCAATTTTATTCATCTTTTTCATTTATATTGTTGTAGGCATGTTGTTCTCTTGGTTTTGCTTATAGCATTTTGCATCAGTTCATATAAATCTTCCCATGTTTTTCTGAATTAACCAATTCTTAGTGCACAGTAATATCCCTTAATAAACCATTATATTTTGAGCCATTTTTCAGTTTTTCCAGGTTTTGGCTCCACAAAGCACACTGCTATGAATAGTTTGGTATATAATGTCCCTTTCTTTCTGTCTTTGTCTTCCTCGAGGTAGTTGGGTCACTGGGGCCAGTGGTATGAACAGTCTAGTCACTTATTGTATAATTCCCAGTTGGTCTGCCGAATGAATGGAACAGTCCACAGCTGTCGCAAAAGTCTATTTGTGTTTAAGGAAGGAAGATCTCGCAATTTAGCATAGCTATTCCTTAGAAGGTCCTTTTCTTAAAAGGCTGTATTGGCTTTGGTACAACGTCCAGCAGTTCTGACATCGAAAATTAAACTTGTTTAAAAACTACTGAGTGTCATATTTTGGCACAGAAATATGATAATCTATGACTGTTCTTGGCTGCATACTTTTTAATTTCATCCTTTAATTGATTGCCCAGGAAATTAATCTAGCAACAGTTGCTGTTAATGACTCTTCTTTCTAAGTGGAGAAAACATTTATAGCTCTTAGAGTAATATCAGCTTTCAGGGTGTGAGAATAATCCTTTTTCTAGAATTCTCTTTACTGAATTGCCACAAACAATCCTTGCTTTTGCTATGATCAACACTATATGACTGATGGAGAAAACCATGTGGTCCAAGAAAGAAATATTTAAACATTAGAATGAAAATATTGAAGGGAAAGCAGGTACTGCTTCCATTTAAAAAGAGGGTGCTCCTGTCTGACAGCAAGAAGAAGGTCTGGCTCCATATGTATTTTAGCCTGCTTAGGACAAGCTATTGATCAATTGCCATGTGATCAGTTTGCCTGTTGTGACAAGAGTGGTGCACAGAGAAGGCCAAGATGAATGAGCCCTTCATCTCTCAATCTGATTGCCCTGGTTTCTTTCCTGTATAGAGCTGAATGTTTAAAAAGGCTGAGAAGTCACAGAGCCTTTTGTAAAGAACCTTGGCCTGGGCACCAAGAAATCTTGGAGCAAGTCTTGGCTTTGCTCGTAAAAAGTTCTATGTCCCTGGGCAAGTCATTTCCTTTCTTTGAGCCTCAGTTTTCTCATCTGTAGAATGAGGGCATTGAATTGATTGGCATCTTACATAGCTTTTAGGTTTAATGGTCTGATATTATGGTGTTACTGTTTTGTGGCACGTGATAGGAATACTTCACCGTGTGAAAGAGGCTTTTTCTTACAAAGATCCATTGCATCGTTGCTGTCCATTTTCTTTTTTACTTGGCATTTCGGGGAAGAGGAAAGCTGCTGAAATGTGCTCTGTAGGTAGCTCTGGAAGAGAAGTCTGGCCTCACCTTGGATGGTTTTACTTGGATGGTTTTACTAGGGCAGGATGATGATTTACAAAGTTGTGCAACTAAATCCTGGAGAACAAATGAGCAGAACTGCTGTTTGTGTGGGGGCTGCCTTGCTGAATAACTGGTGTGGAGGAGGAAGGAAACTGCCCTTTTCCTGACTTCTTTTCAATCTGAGTTTCACCCAGTCATTTTTTTTTTTTGGTGAGGCAATTGGGGTTAAGTGACTTGCCCAAGGTCACACAGTTTGGTCTGAGGCTGGATTTGAACTTAGGTCCTCCTGACTTCAGGGCCAGTGCTTTATCCACTGTGCCACCTAGCTGCCCCACACCCAGTCATTTCTGAGCTAGGTACTTTTCTTTGAAGATACTCCAGAGCTGACTCAGCGTTTGCTGGGTCTGCACAGCAACCTTGGAAGATAACTCCATCTCATGTTGTTGTTATACACTCATGCATTAGCCATAGTCCTCGATCATTGCAGCAACCCCAGATGTTGGCTGTCCTCATTCTACCTACACACAAGGTGCTGATCCTTCCTTGTGTTACCCACAGTACACATGGGCCTTTGTAAAGAGCTGAGGAGAAGCATCAGTGAGAGTGGAAGCAGGGTCTTTCTGGTCATTTACTGAGGATATTTTTTTATCCTGTATCTTTTTACTAAGCATGCCTTTTAAAGATCATGAATCATGAATGAGGAGGGATAATTTATTACACTTCTTTTCAGCCACCCTTATTGTATGCATAAAAAACCCCAAACCTCTAGTTTATTCATGTTTTGGGTACAGGGAAAAAGTCATCTGGACATTGTAATCAGATGCGATTGGAGTTTCCCAATTTCTCCTTTTGTCTGGGTATAGCTGTTATCTGAGGATATGTAATATGTACATAAATAGAATGCACTATATCCATTCTTGAAGAATGCCTTTCATTGAGACAAATCATTTTTAGGTGTTGGTCAAAGAACAGTTTAGACTTGAGCTGAAGGCATATATGCTCACAATTTAGCATAAATTCTAATTTTCCCGTAGCCTTGCAGCCTTGCTACTACGACTGGTAAAAATGGAATGGATATGTGCAGGAGAGACTTTCTGATTCTTTGCCTGGAGCCAAATTAGTTAATGATATTCATTCAGATACAGTATAGTACAAATGGGGCCTATTAAGAGGCTTAAATTAGGTCAAATTGAATAATTGAATTTATTCTTTTACTTAAAAACAGCTTAATCAGTTGAGAGTGCTGAAGTCTAAAAAAAGTTTAATTAAATATTGATAGGTAGTATATGGTTTCAACTTTTTGTATCTTCCTTTAATATCATTTCTGCATATGAAACATGTCTCTTTTTCCCCCTTATTATCTCAGGTTCCTGGGGATGAAGTTCAGCCATTCTCACTTGATGAAAATTTTGACTATGACAGTGTGATGCTAACCCCCAAGTTCTCTAGTGAAGAGATGAAGACAATTATAGAAACGTCCAGCCAAAGTAGACTGAACCTTGACGAGGAGGCCTAAGAACCAGTAACTGATTTGTAAGACTAGTTTCCTGTTTCCTTTTTCTCTTGTTCTTATCAAGTAATTTTAAAATAAAAGACAAGCCAACCGTTGTATATTACCAACAATATCTGTTGTAACTGTATGTTTGCTGTGTGTGCCTGTCCCCACTCCCCTCCAGTAGAATGTGAGTTCCTTAAGGCCAGGAATTGTATTATTTTTATCCTTATAACTTCCAGGATCTAGCGTAGTACCTGGTATAGTAGCAACTTAACGGTTGTTGAATTGAATTGAAAAGCACATGCAACCAAATACGTGGGAATATTTAAGGAGTGAGTCCCTGTGAAGGGGTGAGTGCAGGAGGATGAGGAGGGGGCCAGGAAGATTCAGAGACGGATAAGGAGATGTTGAGTAAAGCAGGAGAAGAGACAGCAAGGGGGGGGGTGCAGAAAGAGAGAGAGAGAGAGAGACAGAGAAACAGAATCTGAGTCATTGCATGACTGGAGCAATGATTGAGTGAGGTTTTGAGAGCATTATTTGTGGTGTATTTGTGATGTTATTGTGCAGTTGTGTTGATATTTGAGTAACTGTGATAATATTTGAGAGTTTAAAAATCAACATAGAGTCATTAAGTGGCTAGCACATTTCTATTTTGGGAAGTGAAATGGAAGTTATAAGAACTCTTCGAGAAGCTTATAATATACTTAGGGAGTCAAGAAATATACATAGGAAACTATTGTGGAAAGTGATAGGGAGTAATCAGTCATTAATCCTTAAGTCTTTATTAAACCCCTGTTCTGTGCCAGGCACTATGTTAGATGCTGGAGGTAGAAATGCAAGGGGTGAAACAAATTCTAATTGTGTGAAGTAAAAGCATAGAGACTTGAGATTCTATATTCTGTCCTTAGCAGAGGCAACTGGTGGCCTAGTGCCCAGAGCACTGGGCCTGGAGCCAGGAAGGCCCGAGCTGAAGTCCAGCTTCATACTTTTACTAGCTGTGTGACCCTGGGCACATCACTTTACTTCTGTCTACCTCACTTTCCTTAGCTGTATAATGAGGATACTAGCAGCACCACCTCCCAGGGTTGTTGGGAGGACGCAACAAGATAATTTTTGTAAAAAGCACTTTGCACGGTGCCCGGTCCATAGTAGGTGCTCAGTAATGCTTATTCTCAGTCCTGTCCCCCTCTCCCACTGCACCTACATTGCTGGAGCACCTGAGAGACAGGGCGGTACAGGATTTGAAGTCAGGATCTCAGTGGGATTCAAGCTCTGTCATTTACAAGTCCTTTCCTGTCACTGGCTGCCGGTTTTTTCAAACTTAGGTCTTTCTGACTCTATGACCACTGTACCAGCAGACTGCCTCTAGAATAAGAATAGGAAGTTTACCTGGACCTATTATTTCTTCAGCGTACTTCATTCTGAGTATGGAAATTCCCTCTCACAATGATGTTCACTGACTGCTCTGCAATTTAGGGTTTTAGAGGGTTGCCTAAAGCCCTGGGAGGGCCAGTGTTCGAACATTCAGGGCTATCTGGCCAGGTTGTATGAAGAGCGGGATTTGAACCCAGGGAATCCTGATGCCAAGGCTGACCCTCTAGCCACTTGGCTATACTGTCTTTGTGTTAATAGAAAGAGTAAGGTCATAATATTTTGCTTTGTGTGTGTGTTGGGGACATTTCTGTAGACAACTCCCTCTCTCATTTGGCATAGCAGATAATAAGGAAAACTTTGTCTGTTGGACTACGTATATTGAAACTCTGCTATTTTCCAGCTTCTTTCTTCTTGGCATCTTTTGGTGCATTTCTGTATGTGTAATAGCTGTGCCTGATGACCTCACTTGATTTCCCTATAATCATCTTGTGGGATCATGATTGGAACAGAGGTGTTTTTCACTATTTTTGTTTTTCTGGACCCTCTGGTGTCTGGTATAGCCTATGGGTTCCTCAGAATAATACTTTTAAATGGATAAATTAAAATACATAGGATTACAAAAAAGATCAAAATTTAGTGAAAATAAAGATGTAATTTCTTCCCATCCAAGTGTACGGGCCCTTTCAGATTTATCCATAGACCTCTTAGGGGTCCATGTACTGCAGGTTAAGAACACTTGCCTTTGAGGTTGTCTGGTCCAACTTGTATCTGAAACACAAAATCCCCTCTACAACATTTTTGATTTTTTTTTTTACATTTTTGATTTTTTGAGAAAAGTTATATTGGAAAAAACTTTCCACTTGAATGAATGAATGAATTAAAAACCCTTGGAGTGAAAACCGGCTTTGACTTGGAATTGGTGAGGAGGAGAATGATGGTGGTAGAGAGGTGTCACGTCCCAGGATTGCCGCTCCCTGCTGAGAAATTCCAGGAATCAAAGAAGGCAGCATTACACTTACAGAGAAAGTCATTTGTTTCAGGCTGGTTCACAAATTGGAGCCTCACATCTTTGGCACTAGCACGGTCTTGCTTTGATTGATAGAGCCCACCTTGACGGGGCAAGTGTTGGTTTAGGTCAGATGAATCGGGAATGAGAGGAAGAAAGAAGCATCTGAGTGAAACAGACTCAATGGGAGAGAAACACATCAAATTTCCCAAAGTACCTTGAAAAAAATGTGAAAGTGGTAATGCCAACTGGCCAGAACAGAGAAATTCAGCTCCAAGGCCAACACGTCAGCCTGCACTCTGTCACATCTGTCTCAGCTGATTCTCTTTGGCAGCCTACACTGAACATTCAAATCAGAGGCATTCCTGTCATTCACATTGTGCTTCGTGAAGGGTAACGCTCAGCCCTGACATTGGATTTCCCTCCTTTCTCAAGAAGCATCTTCTAGTCATTTTCCTAGGAATGCACTATATATCCTTGAGGGCTTTTCAACGAAAGACTTGTAGTTTTGTTGGTTGCTGTATCATCATATTACGATGTTAAGCGAGATAACAAATGGCAAAAATACTCCAGACGCATCTGCAGGTTTCCCAGAAGCAATTGAATAAGCAAAAGAAATGTTGTGGGGGGTACAAATACATAAACAGGTTTTTTTTGGGGGGGGGAATCATCATCCATGTATGGAAGAGAAACCTGGAAGATTACATAAGCTAATTATTTTGCATTCCTGAACTTAGATCTTACTTCCTTTAAGGAAGTTCAGAATTAGAACCAGGCTGATACACACACACACACACACACACACACACACACACACACACATATATTCTAAAGGTTGACAAGGTTGAAGAGCTCAAAAGAGTGGGGGGAGTTCTCAGGGTGAAACAGATGCATACATATACATAGATGTTCTTTCTATGAGAATTTAGGAGTATGAGTGACATAGAAAACTTTGTTATCCTTTTGTGATCATTGTGGAAAATTTTTGTTTTTTTGAGCTAGCATTCCCTTCAGACAGGTATATGCTGGGAATATGATAGCAGATTTCTTAAAGTGGGGACTAATGAATAATGGAAAACAGGCAAGGAAAAAATAAATTAGAGAGGATTGGTAGGAAGAGGAAAAGTTCTAACTTGGCTTCTAGGTCTTGAAATCAAGTTCATTCCTTCATTCACCCACTTACTCAACCAATGTATTTTGAACTTCTAAGCCATACAAGTGAGACACTGTGTGTGTGTTGCTGTGTAGCCACATAAGCCACACTGAGAAACAGCCATCATGAATACAGCAGTCAAAGATGAGCGAGACATAGCCCTGCTTTCAAGGAATTGACTTCGATATTTCAGTGAATCTGGGATCTCATCGATGTGGGTCCAACTTGTTCAGCTTTGCCCGCCCAATCTGTGTAACACCTGTCTGTACTCTCACCAATTTGTCACAGACCCTGCTAGGGGCCTTCACCTAAGGCTCTAGACACTACATAGTTCCCAAAGGAGCCCACCATTATCTCTTCTTTTCACTATGTGTTCTGCCCAATTTCTCAGTCATACTTTTTTTCTGATACTACCTTTTATCTACTTCTCTGCAGGAATTCCATGGTTATAATGTGTGCTAGCCTGCTCATACCAACTCTGTGTTTCTCTGTTGTCCTTTTCCTGATCATCAGCTTGAATTCTTATTGATGATGGATATTTATAGTGCCTCTTAAAAAACAACAGCAACAACAATCAAGAGTTCTTAATTTTTTTCCTATTATGGGTCTTTTTGGTGAAGCCGACGTACCCTTTCACAAAATATTTTAAATATATAAAATAAAATAATTAGGATTACAAAGGCAATAAGTTATAATGAAATTTATTTAAATATATGTGTCTATATGTGTATATGTATATGTGTGTATGTGTGTTATATACATATTGCATGTGTTTATGTATTATATATACAAGTATACATTATATATAAATTATAATATATACATATACACATGATATACTACATATATATCTCTATCTCTGTCTATGTATCTATTTACCTATCAAAGCTCATGGACTCCAGGCTCTGAACCAAAGCAGTTCTCTAGCACTCCTTCAATTCCACCTGTTTTTTTATTAATTTATTTTTAGTTTTCAACATTCACTTCCACAAGCTTTTGAGTTTCAAATTTTCTCCCCCTCAAGACGACATGCAATCTGGTATAGGCTGTAAATATACATTCCTATTAAACATATTTTCACTTTAGTCATGTTGTAAAGAAGAATTGGAACCAATAGGAGGAACCACAAGAAAGAAGAAAAAAAAACAAAACAGAAGAAAAAGAGAGCAAATAGTATGCTTCAATCTGCATTCAGACTCCATAGTTCTTTGTCTGGATGTGGATAGCATTTTCCATCATGAGACTTTTGGAGATGCCATATATCCTTGAATTGCTGAGAAGAGCTAGGTCTATCAAAGTTAGTTATCGTACAATGTGGCTGAAACTATGTGCAATGTTTGCCTGGTTCTGCTCTCTTCACTCAGCATCAGTCCATGCAAGTGTTTCCAGGTTAATTCTACCTCTGTTTAAACTCCAGGAATCAAGCTCAAGAGGCGCTGATACTTTGTATTCATATATGTTTTATGAAAATAATGCCCTGCTATTTTACAATAGTACAAAATGTA